CTGACTCATGGTTGATGGACTTGCTCCTTAGTCCCGTAAAAATAATCAGACTTGCGTCCTTGAAGCTAATGTCTATTACTTCAATCAAGAAAGGAAAGAAAAGGTCAAGGGTGCTTCGTTTGAGTCTTGAACAAAGGTGGTATACTGCGGATATATAAGCTCACCTGTATAGACGCCCACCAACATCAAGCCCAGCTGGCAGGCACGGGCCCCGATCTATCCATAATGGTCAAAGCATACATCGACGGCGGCAAGGGTCCGAACAAGAGAGGCTGCAGTAGCGTGAAGAATATGCACCGTAGTGGGAGAAACTTGATTGCTTGGGTCGGCGCTTAGCCTCGACATCTCGCTGGATCGGACAGCGGGCACGATGTGGCTGGACTCAGCCCGGCGCTTCGGATCATACCAACGATCATGATTCGGCATAGGGAAGCGCTGAAGCTAATAATCAGTAACTGTGACTGGTTAGTGGTCGCGGGGTACGGTGACGAAAGGTGACGGGCTCTATTTCTCTGTTTACTCGAAACATCACCTACCGGTGAAGCATAGTCGGTTACCGAAAAGGGCACAGCCCCGACGATATAGAGATAACAGGGTGACTTGACTCTCATAAAGCCTCACAGCAGCTTGAGTAGAATTTGTAATGCTATGTCATTGGCCATATTTGACATGTCCTGGCACTCAACTAATATACATGGCACAGTCTATCATACAGTCTAATCGCTCATACTACATACCCTCGTCATGAACACGGAATGTCAGCCCCTCGGCCATAGCAATTGCTCCCTCCATGTTGCCCTTGTTGTACAAAAACAAGCCCTGTAAAGCAGCAGCGCTGGTGCTCTTCGTCCGATCAGCCTTGACGCCGTTCTCGTCCTCGATCAGCCCCAACTCTTGTAGCCGGTCGAGGAAGACCTGTCGATTGGTGCCACTCGGGTCAAGCTCTCCGTAGAACCGGTCCCAGAGACAGCCGACTTGATAGCGAGTCACTTCGCCCAGACGCACCGTCATGTCCACGCGACCCGGTCGGACTAGCGCCTCGTCAAGTCGTTCGACGTGGTTGGTGGTGAGGAAGATAATCCGTTCCTCGGCGCTTGCAACGCCATCCAGAGCATTCAGAAGACCCGAGAATGTAACATTGGCTCCACGATAACCGTCCTCGTCCGTTTGAGTCCGGCGATTCGAGAACGCAGCATCTACATCCTCAAGCAAAACCAGGGTTCGGTTCGGAACAATTGTCAGAAGGTGATTCAGCCGATCATCCGTCAGTCCCCGTTCGCTGAGGTTCAAGATGGCAATATCGTAGTCCAATTCGCCCGCCAAGGCTTGGATGAACGAACTCTTACCCGTTCCCGGAGGCCCGTAGAGGAGATAACCGCGGCGGTAGGGGATACCCCGGTCGTGATACCATTTGCCACTGCCCACGAAGTCCTGCACATCCTCCACAATTCGCTCTTTGACTCCTTGGTCGAGAACCACCGACTCCAACGGACGCTTTCGCCGCGGCTGTCCAAAAAGCTTCCATTCGGTGCCCCAGCTGTTGTAGATGGATGTCTTGCCTTCGTGAGATTTGGCCGCATACGCATGCGCTTCAGTGAAGAGGTCTTCGAACACATGTCGATGCGAATAAAGGGTAGTCAGAGTGATGGTCTCCCACGGCCGGCCCGTGTGTAGGTCCTGGGACTTGGACTCTCGCATCCGGTTGACGAAGATGAACGCGTTCTTGTAGCGCAAAACATGTCTTCCGGGTCCAGGTACCAGCGCGAAATGTGTATGTATCGCCCCATTGCTGTGCTCGACTTTCTGCGTTTGAATCGAGAGGTGGCGCATCCCGGGGGTCAGCCTCTGTAGTATGGACTCCATGAAACCAGACCTGCTGGCAGCGGAGCGGGCCGTATTAAGCTGCGATTGTTGGTATAGTGTCATCCAGTGAAGGAACCACGGGTAAGAGTCGTCCTTGATGCTGATTTCGACGTCGACAAGCATGCGCCGACGGAGGAGAGCGGCGCCATGGCGGAAGCCTTTTTGTGCGAGACTGACTCCAGCCCCCAGACCGGCAAGACCAAATCCCTATGAGTAAAACTACCTGTTAGCGATTGGGTTTGGCAGCAGACATAGCTCCAACAGCTTGAGGAACTTACTGCGGTGAAGAAAGGATTGTTGGTTAGCTGAGAGAGAAGGCTTCCGTCTCCTGTAGGCTGCCCCGCTGCTTGGATGGCATCTTTCCGTTGCTGCGCAATCAGATCGCCAGGCGAAGGCAGCCCTGGAGTACTTGATGGTCCATTGGGGTCCATGCCAACAGAAGAACAATCATGCACCGCCACCTACAGTTGTCTGATTCCTTGAGCACATGTCCGCAATTGTTCCTGTCGGGGAGTCGGAGTTATGACGGGCCGAGATCGATCGGGGTTTCACGGGCAATCGGAGATGGGGAAGTCCTCCAGTTCTCAGACCTCTAAAAGGGATAGCCCTGGCTTCATTGTCTACGCATCCCAGTCCAATAATATCACACCTTGCATTATCGTACATTAGGCGTCAGTAGAGCTACGTAGTCTAAGCCCCAGAAATCTTCTTGAAAGGCCACAACACAACCTATACGAGATAACTAGGCAGAACGTCGGCGATGTCATCACTCCGCCCCGGAGATAACGGGCTTTACACCGTCATCGCCGTTCCTCTTTTTTTGATTCACCAAAAGGGGGACTGCGTTGAATAAAAGTCTGACGTGGGCTAGAGCATGTTGAGTTATCATATACTTTGAGATATACGGGCGGGAGTACCCATTTATCTTCATTGTTAAGGCAGCCGCCACCAAGCTTCGTATAAAACCTTCCCCGCCCTCGATTCTTGAAGACAATGCGAGCATTCCTGCGAGGCGTCTTTTGTTTCCGACAGGGCAGTACTTCTGCACCTAGATTGTCATCCCCACAGAGACGCAACATGAGCAAAGCTACTTCCGCAGCTTCAACGTCGGCAGCCCTCTACTCCCTAGCCGTTGTGCTCTCCCCAGCCTCTGAGGGACCTGAGGATGTCAAGGAGAAAGCTCACCATCTCAAAAATGGCTTTCAAAACCCCTGGGAGTATGTCATTTGTACCTATCGCAAAAAAATGATGGTATCTTGTGACTAATGTATTCCTGCAGCTCATGGCAATCTCCGACAGTGGGTAACGCTCTTCGCATGTGGGGGTAAGTTACAAGTCCTCTCCTAGATGTTTAGTATACAGTTCTGACATCTGCATTGAAGGGGAATCATAACGGGGAAAATCAAGTTCCCGGACGTCACGCCTCCTACAGTGCCTGTTCAGCAGCCCAAGTTTCTGCCTGATCGGGAAACATCTGGTCTGCGGGCGACATGGCTTGGCCATGCTTGTTACTACGTCGAATTTCCCAATGGTCTACGAGTTCTGTTCGACCCGGTATTCGAGGACCGTTGCTCTCCGGTCTCCTTCATGGGCCCAAAGCGCTTCACGGAGATGCCATGCCGCATCGAGGACATCCCAATTATCGATGCGGTGGTAATCTCCCACAACCATTACGATCATCTTTCTCATCCAACCGTCATGGAAATCTCGCGACGCCATCCCAATTGTCACTTTTTTGCACCTCTTGGCAATAAAGCATGGTTCAGCAGCATTGGTATAGACAAAATGACCGAACTCGATTGGTGGGACGAGCGAGACATTGTTCTTTCACCCTCACATGAATCAGTCACCGAGGCCGGTGCCGGTGAGGGCCAGAGTTCAAACCAGTCTAACATCACAGCTCGTATCAGCTGCTTGCCTTCACAGCATACAAGCAATCGGGGTGTGTTTGATCGATCAAAGACCCTGTGGGCGTCGTGGGGCATCGAAGCCGGAGGTCGGAAGCTGTGGTTTGCAGGGTATGTATAACTACCGAGGAGATGCCTTGAATTATCTAACCAAGATTGTCATATAGAGACACAGGATATCGGAATGTGCCAGAGCTTCCTGCCGGTACCGATGATCATGCCCCGGAGTACGATTTCCCCTCATGTCCCGCGTTTAAACAAATTGGTCAATTACGGGGGCCTTTCGACCTCGGGTTGATCCCGATTGGCGCCTACTCACCCAGATGGTTCATGAGCCCTATGCATGCGGACCCTGATGATGCAGTGCAAATTTTCCGGGATACCAAATGCAAAAGAGCCATGGCTATTCATTGGGGAACTTGGGTCTTGACAGATGAAGATGTCCTTGAGCCACCAAAGAAATTGAAGGAGGCGCTCACCAAGTATGGCTATCCAGAGGTCGGGGCATTTGACGTTTGTGACATCGGCGAAAGCCGGGAATTCTAATGGTCATGTGCGCCTGGGAAAGTTTGGGGTACTTATTATACTTACTTTAATATTGCTGTACGATAGCTGCATGTTGATCATTGTGCGTGCACCCGGATAGACGCTCACAACTCTATAATCCATACAAATCTTTCTTCCCCTCACCGTCTTTTTTTATACATGTGATGAGTCTCTAGATCAACCCTCCGAAATAGTCAATGCTCCTATCGAGTGCAAGGCTTCAAAAAGAGGCTCTGACCCATGTGATGGCACGGGCCTATTTACGGAGCGTGCCAGTGAATGACCCTGCACCAACAACGCGTTCAAGGTGCATACGGCGTTTCCCTTATTCCATTACTAGTCCTGGCAAACAAATATGATCGTACCCCCAGACCAGATGACCAATTGCAGCTGTTCTTTAAAAAGCTACTGGAGGCAATGACCCGATTAGCAGTAAAGGTGACATGGGAATGATCCGCTTCCCCAAAACTGAATTGACGTCAATAGGAGCCATATTCGTCTCGATTTTGCTGAATGACTCAAAGTTTCATCAGCTCGGTCGCCTCTATCTATCTCACTGAATTCATCTATCACGTACATATATTTTTGGCCCCATCTCACCAACTGCTCAGCCTCTCATTTCCCCGACCAAAACCCCATCCCCAGCGCGTGCTCCCACCACGTCAGCAAACAACTAAATCCATCATGGCCACCATAATGCAGCAAAGCCCACAAGATGCCAGCTATTTCTGGCGAAGCAGTTCAGACACCTGGACGAGCAATCACGTATGGGAACCCCAAGAGCGCAGACGCTCCATGGACGACGAAGAGGAAGTACTCTACGAACTCGACGAAGTCGCCCTAGCACAACTACCACTGCATCTCCAACACAACATGCGTCAAATACAGCTGGAACGAATACGCAAACTACTGCACGACCGGGATCCGAATTCCGGGCTTGACCCCAGACCTGTACACCCTAATCCCTACGCGCAAACCTGGTTCAAGAACATGATGGCGCGACTCTCAGCAGACCAAGAGATGAATGAAGTCCACGAATGGCGCCAGTCGGTACAGCTTGACGGCGAACCAGACGACACTACCTGGCCTCTGGTTCCACGACAGTGGACTGGCAACAGACAGCACTATGATCGGAGAACCTGGCACTTTGATCATGCGACTTCGGGAGAAAACAGTTTCAACGCTTATTCGACAGGCAGCACACGTGTATGCAGTCTGCATGGACTGGGGGTCAATGAGTTTGGATTCCGCCTATCCGAGTCTGGTTCACATGGTAGTAGAGACCAGAAGCAGGAGGTCGGAAAGGTCTCTTCGAAGCCTCGGAAGAGGAACTTGTCTCTTATTACGCATATGCGGGCTCATGTGCGTTTTCGGGTACGCAAGAGTGTTCAGAAGCTAAGCAAGCTCCTGAAGAAGTGATCTGATTCCCCAACGTCGGGTTGTGTCGTTGAATCATTTGAACATTTGGGGAAAAGTTTGGGTTTGTTTTCTTAGGAGTTTGGCGATACGGGGCACAGGGAATACCTGGATAGCGGGCGTTATGAAGCATCTGTGCGAGATGAGCTTTTTATTTTTTGAATGATATGAATTACTCTTTAAGACCCAAAGGAAGAAAGGGCGCGAACTATTCGATTCCATGGCATGCGATGATGCTCTCCGTAGATAGATCAGGGGGAAAAGGATAGCACTAGACCCAAAGCAGAATGGTGGCGGTGAGCTCTTCTTGTCCGCAATCCCACTTCGAAAGGTGCGCTGGAAATTTGATGGGGACGGCGGGCAACAAAACAACTCCAGTTCCCCTCCACGAGCAAAAAGGCCCCTATCTTTGACCGCTTGTCGATCGGCTCCGGAGTTTACTCCATCTTTTCCTAGGGACCGTTTGAATTTCTCTCTTCCTTTTCCGACGCAAGTCAACAAACCACCGCCATCATGCAAGCACCGGTGGTGGTGATGAGTATGTCCCAATCGAGGGGAACTGCCCGGAACTTGGTTTCTGATTGCTAACATGGTTCTTTAGACACCAATGCTGGTGAGAGACAGGTTGGTCGTAAAGCCCAGCTGTCTAATATCGCTGCTGCGAAGACGTACGTGATTGATCCCCTCCCACTCTTCCCCGCTTCCGGCACTTCTGACACGGGGCCTGGCATTACAGTGTCGCGGATATTATTCGGTCATGTCTGGGACCTAAGGCTATGCTGAAGATGCTTCTCGACCCCATGGGCGGTATTGTTTTGACGAACGATGGACACGCTATCCTCAGAGAAATCGAGGTGTCGCACCCCGCTGCGAAGAGCATGATCGAGTTGAGTCGGACCCAAGACGAGGAAGTTGGTGATGGAACAACGACTGTTATCATTCTGGGTATGTGCTGGCTAAATTGTGCTTATCGCACGATGGACTTGATATTTTCATGGGATGACTCGCTAACCTGTACTAGCTGGTGAGATGCTCGCTCAGGCCCTTCCCCAGCTCGAACGTAACATTCACCCCGTTGTCATCATCTCGGCTTTCAAGCGTGCTCTGGCCGACGCCCTTGCCATTGTGGAGGAAGTTTCGATACCCGTGGATATTGATGATGACAAGGCTATGTACACCCTCATTCAGTCGTCTATCGGCACGAAGTTCGTTTCCCGGTGGTCGGAGCTCATGTGCAGCCTCGCTCTGAAGGCTGTCCGGACCGTGTCTTTCGATGCTGGTGGTGGAAAGCGGGAGGTCGACATCAAGCGGTACGCTCGTGTTGAGAAGATTCCTGGTGGTCAGATTGAGGACAGTGAGGTTATCGACGGTGTCATGGTCAACAAGGACATCACCCACCCCAAGATGCGGAGGAGGATAGAGAACCCCCGTGTTCTGCTGCTCGACTGCCCGTTGGAATACAAGAAGGGTGAATCGCAGACGAACATCGAGATTACCAAGGAGGACGACTGGAACCGTATCCTGCAGATTGAGGAGGAGCAGGTTAAGGCCATGTGCGATGCTATCATCGCCCTCAAGCCTGACGTTGTCATTACGGAGAAGGGTGTTTCAGGTATGGCTTGAATTTCTATTTGCAGGCATCCGACTTGCTAACACTTCCCAGACCTTGCCCAGCACTACCTGGTGAAGGCCAACATCACCGCCCTCCGCCGTGTGAGAAAGACCGATAACAACCGTATCGCCAGAGCCACGGGTGCGACCATCGTGAACCGTGTCGACGACCTCCAGGAGTCCGACGTTGGAACTCAGTGCGGACTTTTCGAGATCGAGAAGATTGGCGACGAGTACTTCACCTTCCTCAGAAAGTGCCAGAACCCCAAGGCTTGCACTATCCTTCTCCGCGGCCCCTCCAAGGACATCATCAACGAGATCGAGCGGAACCTCCAGGACGCCATGGCCGTTGCCCGTAACGTCATCTTCCACCCCCGTCTTTCCCCCGGTGGTGGTGCCATTGAAATGGCTGTGTCTGTCAGATTGAGCCAGTTGGCCAAGTCCATTGAGGGTGTCCAGCAATGGCCCTACAAGGCTGTTGCCGATGCCATGGAGGTTATCCCCAGAACATTGGCACAGAACGCCGGTGCCAGCCCTATCCGTGTCCTCACCCGCATGAGGGCCAAGCACGTTGAGGGCCAGACCACATGGGGTCTGGACGGTGACTCCGGTGCCTTGGTGGACATGAAGGAGTATGGCGTCTGGGAGCCCGAGGCGGTTAAGCTTCAGAGCATCAAGACCGCTGTCGAGGTAAGAACAAATACATCCTACTCTATATCGACTCAAACTGACTGTCTCTCTAGTCCGCATGCTTGCTCCTCCGTGTCGACGATATCTGCAGTGGTAAGTCTGCTCAGCAGGCCGGTGCCGGTCTCGGTGTCGGTGGTGGAGATGATTAAATCAATTAAGACGAACCGAAATAAAACTGCGTACATAATGCTGCACGATTACCATTTGGACTTCTTGTATGAATATCCTAGACCAAAAATTACAATGGGTATCTTCATATCGTACAATCCCTAGCTTCCGTAGGCCCCGGTTCCTTCGTAGCCCGTATATAGTATCCCCCCATTCTCCATTCAGTCATCATGAATGATCACTCCGGGCACCTCAGCAACCTCCTCAGGACCATTCCCATCCCCATTCTCAGTTCCGTCCTTTTTATCCCCATCAGCACCACCCCCGACCTTCTTCCCCGTCTCGTCAACGGCCATCTTATCCCCCCCATTCGACGCACCACCACCACTACCCCCCTTCTTCCCCTTCTTCGCATTCCTCTTCTCCCTCTTCTTCCGATTCTTCTCCGTCTTCTCCTCATCCTTCCTCCGCGCTTCCTCCCGCTTCTGCTCCCACTCCTTATCCTCCTTCTCCTTGTCAACCTCGCTCTGCATCAGCCGCTGACGCTCGTACTCCCTCCGCCGACTCGCCTTGTAGACATGGAACTCGCCCGACCCCGCACCAGCAGAGGAACCCTGGACGTTGGCGACAATTTCTGGCGGCGGCGGTAGCGATGTCGAGGTTCGTTGTTTGGAGGGGTCCGGAAGCTTAATTTCTTTTGTGGGGTCGCGGAAAAGAGACTCGATTTGCGTGGCGTGTTCGTCGAGCGCTGTCACGGCGCGGCGTTTGGTGGGACGTTTGCTGCGCGGGTCTGCGCTGGTAGGGATTGATTCGGGGCCTGGTTCGGACATTTTGGATGCGGTTGTTTGTGTAGATTAATGGAGTGGGAGGGTAGAATGGCTGCGCTTGTCTAAAAGAGATTGGTGGGCCTCTTGATCTAGAGAGGAGGCTGATGTGAGAGTGTTTGTAGTTTTGTATAAGTAGGTGCAGAATGAGGAGCCAGTAGTAGTCTAGCTCGAGAATAGCAATTGCCGGGGTGAAACCTGGGCGGTGAGAACGCGCCGTTGGGGTTGCTCTTATCGATCGATTGGCCGGGATTGGATCGCGGGCTGGTTCCATCAGCATGAACGCCGATTAAGTACTTTCCCAGTCGGGAACTCAGATGTATACAACTTGGACATGTGAGGAGGAGCCTGTCGGATCGCCAATCTTGGTCATAAGGAGAATATATTGCTCCGAGATCTTGAAGATCATATTCAAGTGGCTATTAGTGTTTCGAATTATCTATAATTCATCAAGTTGAAGTACTTCTAATTCTATCGGCCTCTGCATCAGGCCGTGGCACATGACAAACCCTGGCTGTGCTTTTTCCTGGTAGTATTGTTATCATCCTCCGGGATCTCCCACCTTCCCCTCAGACATTCTTTTCTTTCCTTTGGCTAGTATTGCGTGCTCTAGTTGATATCCATCGTATATTTACTTGTATGAGTATGTGCCTTCAAACCTCGCTTGGAGCTACGTACTTCTCCATCATATCTTACTTCCTACCTTCTACCCCGCCAGCATGAATACGAGTGGCGTCCCCAACGCCCCGAATCCGGGGACTTCACGTACTTTCCAGGTCAGCAATCAGTGGGCTACGAAGACTTCGTTATCAGCCCAGACTTCCTAATGATTCATAGTTTGATCTCAACGATGTTTGTTGTTTGAAATCAAATCCATCTTTAACGGGTATTGTTCTAGTATGGCTCCCGTTGATAGTATTGCAGCATGTGGGTCTTACTTTGCTAATATACAAGCACAGAGGACATATCTCGATGTACGTGTCTTCTACGGTCGATAACTTCAATATAACAATGGCTCAAATAGACTGACACGGCATGCCCAAGGTGTATCCGTTGGGACCACCGGAAGATGATTTAATGGTCTCATATACATCAGTGCCACAAGACGTCCTGACTGAGTACTTACAAACCGGTGTGGTAGGTCCTCAGGTACCATTAACCAGAAATCATGTCCACTAAACCCATCTTCTGTTATAGCCACGCAAAGGATATGTCATTGTTCAGTTCAAATGGGTTTCGCAAGGGTGTTCTCTCATCCACGAGGATGATCTTGAACTTCTCGATCGGTGCATCAACTTCGGTAGCTATGTCAAGAGACCGGACGACACAATGTGTGGCACGGTCATCGGTGCATCCGCTACGTGCACACTCGAGCCGATTGCGTATCGTAACTATGACGAGTCGTTGGGCGAATATGGCTCCGTCGAGTTCAACGAACGGCTCATGCCTCACAGCCGCAGAAGACCCGGGACCGATTCTTCGCGTCCTTTGCCAATACATGATGTGCCTTTGTCTGAGATCATGCATCATGAGCCGTTTATCAACGATGACTTGATCATTTACCATCAGAAACTGGGAATCATTCGGCAGGTCGACCGGGATGCTATTTTGCGTGTTTCCAACGTGCCGGTCTCGCTTGTTGATCCCAAGGACCTTGAAGTTCCCTGTCATTTCGATGACAATGAGCTCATATGGATGCCCAAGGGCCAGCCATGTAGAGTTGTGGACACTAACTTGCGATACATGGAGCATGACTCCGTGATTCCAGGTCAGTATGTGTGTACGAAATACAAGAATATGCGCGGAATAAACGGGGGTACAGTTCCGAAGGAAGATCCCCGTTCCTTTGCCCACGGCCACGTCCTGTCCACGCCAGCTACGGAGTATAAGGTGGAATGGCTTTGTACGAATGTTTTTGGTCTCGGAACATGTGAGATCCCGAATGGAATAGAGACTCTCCGAGCATCTGTCTTTGAACGCGATGCTGTGATATGCGACTTCGAGAATCTCTCGGCTGGAGGAACAGTGAAATCGGCGACCTCGCTTCAGATCGGTGATATGATACGTTTTCGAGATCCAAAAAGCGCCTTTCAAAAATACTCTTACCAACATATTCCTCCTGAAGAGACTTTTGGTTATGACATGAACATGTTTCATATTACCTCAAGAAAGACAGCACTGACTGTCAGATGGTTGGACGGGAATGTCACCACCGAAGATATAAAATGCCTTCGTTGGGACCCGGGGCTTGATGAAAATATATGGCCCGGGAGCATCGTCGTCCTGAAGGATGGGATTGAGACCATGCATTGGCCCGGCTTGGAATCCACATCGGCATATATCCGGCAACTGCCTAGTCATAGGAAACACAGGGAATCAAAAATCCGAGCAAGAACAGTAGGTGTGGTCCAAGCTGTTAACATTCGAGAGCGAATAGTTACTGTCCGGTGGTATAAGGATCCTTATCTTATACTCTTGCATGGCGGGCAGATCCTAGCTTCTCTCTACTCTAAGCTGGGCGAGCTGGGTGATACAATCAGCCAAGTATCTCTGTATGAGCTCGACGTGTTTCCTTGTCTGGAAAGATCACATGGTGATATAGTACTTCTCGCCCCAGACACCATCCATACCTCGGTCTTGACGGAAGGGTCACTGAGTGCATACAACATCGCTGGTCCTTGCACATTTAGTTATACATCGTCATTGTCACTTTCGCAGATGCACTCATACCTCAAGGACATGAGTCTCGCCATGTTTCATTGGGAATGGTTCAAAAGCATGACTACAGTTGACACTTCTCCTCTTCCTCCGAGACATAGTCACCACTATCAACGTAAGCTCAGTGAAAGATCCACTGCAGACTTCGTCGGCCAGATCATTGCAATTGATGTTAATGGTGAGATTACTGTTCGGCTAGCTGGTACTTGTCGCGACGTCCGCGTTCCGTTCGAAAGGATCATGATGGTCATGGATGGAGGCTTCACCACTCCACTTGGGGTTCCAGCTCCAGGTGATCTATCGACCATGTCAATGAACTCAGCTTATACATATAAAGAAGAGGGTCCAGGAGTTGGTGATGAGGAGGGGCTTTTACATTTTGATGATGAAGAAGGGCTCTCGAGTGATGATGATGAGGATATGTCGGAGACGACGCTCCGAGAAGCCCTCCGCCGATATGTCAATGATGAGGATGGTATTCTACTTGAAGAAGAAGAATGGGTTTCAGGTAATGACGAGGAGGAAGAGGAGGAAGCCATCTCAGGTAGTGATGTTGAAGATATGTCGGAGATCAAATGCGCTGTATATCGATATGTCAATTCTAGTTCTGCAGATGACGGCTATTCCGAAGATGCAGACATGAAGACAGAGAATGACTCCGACTTTGACATGAGAGATGCTTCGGATGGAGTAGTTGACCAGAGTGAGGAAATGACATCACCTCCAGGGTTCCTCATATTGGAAGGCCCCCCTCCCTCCGATCATCATTTTATCTCGAAGGATGGTGCAGGGGGCTCGGCCTTACGAGTCAAGCGTATCCAAAAGGAGTGCGACATACTCGATGAATCACTCCCTCCAGGGATCTTTGTGCGAGCATGGGAGTCGAGGATGGACCTGCTCAGGGTTTTGTTCATTGGGCCGGAGGGGACCCCTTACCAATATGCGCCGATCCTGATAGACTTCCATTTTCCGGGGGACTTTCCTAGAAAACCACCTGAGGCATTCTTTCACTCGTGGATCGGCGGCCAAGGAAGGATCAATCCGAACCTCTACGAAGATGGTAAGATCTGTCTGAGCATTCTAGGAACATGGCCCACTCAGAACCAGGAGGAAATGTGGTCAGCAACCAAGTCCACTGTTCTACAGATTCTGGTCTCAATTATGGGCTTGGTTCTTGTGCAAAGCCCCTTCTACAGTAAGTCAATATCCTGAGCTATGCGTACAACTCAATATCACAGATTAATCGTGTACCAGATGAGGCCGGGTATGAAGTTTTTGCTGCGGAGGGCGGTAGACGAGTCGAGTCAGACAAGTATACGGAAAAGACATTCTTGACTACACGCAGATATATCAAGTATGCCCTAGATCATCAAGTAAGTGGCATGGAAGACATTGTGGATTGGAACTATTTGCCTAGTCGCTTGAATTCAGAAGACTGCAGCAGGCCACTCCTGCTCCGTCGCGCTATCGATACGGCATTGGCGATGATAGAGCATGAGGGGCATACCAGCAGTGGAGAGGAGCGCAGTGCCTCGGCGTTTGTCTCGCGTCTTAGCCTGGGGGCTGTGGTCATGCTGCGAAAGTATATCACGGAGCTTGAGGCTTTGGAAGTAGCTGCGACTGCCTAACAAGAGCCTCGACGTTGGACAATCATGCTGCAGACAGCCACAATGCTTCTAGTCTGTTGTTGATGGTCCATGAGACGCATTTGGATTTATTATCGATTAAGTCTATGTTGCATTAGCTCACTCTTGCGGAATCTCTGGGGAGTGAGTGGTTGGAAAGCGTTCTAATAGTTGGGTTAAATTCACTAAGATCTTTGCTACAAATATGCACTACCTGATAATATTTAAAATAGTTCAGGTTGGGTATCTCTTAGCATTTGGGGTTCAGTATAACGGTATCCTTGACTGGAACTCTGCTAGTAGAACTGAACTATAGCTAGCATTTATCCACAAATCAGGCGCTTAAACGACCGTCACGGCATCGGCCGGATAAAAGAGACAGAAACTTGATGGTTGATAGAGAATTAGATTCATAATTAAATATTGATTAGTAAATTGAGGAAGGATCAGACAATAAATAATCTGTAGAAGAGAAGCAGAAGTAAACACAGTAAGTAGGAGAAAGCCAAAGCAGCACTGCGGCATTGGTCTTTGGCGTGTTCCGTTGGCAGCAGCGCCAGACCTTCGCTCTTCTTGCGCTCTTCTCTGTCCTCCCTCCCTCTTCTTTCTCCCCTCGCTTTTCTCTATTTATCCCCATTTATCTCCCATCTTCCCCTTCTCTTCATTTCCATCTTTTCTGTGTTGCTTCTTCGCTGTTGTGTCGGTGAAATCCCTAGGTTATAAATACACCCTTCGACCCCGGGCGCGATCGCACCCATAAATCTTGGTTCCCTCTCAGCACGCAAACTTAACTTTCCCGCACGCAGTATCACCAGCCTTCTCTGCTCCCCGTGGTGCTTCTAAAATATGGGTGCCTATCGTCTCGGTAAGTTATTATCTTCGTTCACTGCTCTCCTTGCATCTATCAAAGATGAGTTCCTCGCTGCCTCGCTCTTGATAGTTGGCTTTACTGTTTGCTTTCCCTCATGGTTTTGTTGTCAACTTGCTTTACTGGGATGGGATGAGGGTGCGTTTGTTGTCCAACGGCGACTGCCAACTGTCACTATCAGCCAAGTCATGAACAATTTCTGTTTTGCTTGTTCCAAACATGTTATTTGGTTTCAAATAGCATTATTCACCGAGTTTACACTTCTCGCTCAAAATCTAACCATCTACACAGAGCAAGCCTCAACTGGCCGCGCTGGTTGCAAAAACAAAGAATGTAAAGACCAGGGTATCAAAATCCTCAAGGGCGAGTTGCGCCATGGCTCTTGGGTTGACACCGAACGCTTTCAGAGCTACTTCTGGCGGCACTGGTAAGTCTCATAAATCTAATTACGAAAGAATGAAGCACCTCGCTAATGCTATTTACAGGGGCTGCGTCACCCCCAAGATCATTGCTAATATGGTCGAAACGGTTGGTGAAGAGGGCGAGAGAGACTGGTCGGCCTTGGATGGCTACGACGAGCTCCCTGAGGATCTGCAGGAGAAGGTTCGCAGGGCGATTGAACAGGGCCATGTTGATGATGAGGACTGGAAGGGGGTAAGTTCGTTGACTGCATTTCTTATATCTCATCATTTGTGCACTTGATATCATCTTTTCTATTTGTGAAGGTCTGACTTGTCTCCCAGGATGTCGAACTCAATCGGCCTGGAAAGACGGGATTCCGGAAGCGTGTGACTAAGAAGGATAATGTATGTCCTTCTGTTCAAAGAATACAGCTTTATCGATGCTAATCTGCCCAGGACGAAACCGCGGAAGAATCCACTCCCAAGAAGGCCACTCCTCAGAGTAAGAAGCGCGCTCGCGCTGAACCCAAGGAGGAATCCGGCTCTGAAGCCGAGGCAGAGGACACCAAAGAGAAGCCCAAGACTAAGAAGGCTACTCCCCAGACCAAAAAGCGTGCTCGTGCTGAGCCTAAGAAGGAAGCCGAGTCTGACGCTGAAGAAGAGGCTCCTAAAGAGACGCCCAAGACCAAGAAGGCTACTCCTCAGACTAAGAAGCGTGCTAAAGCTGGAGCCGAAGCCGACGCTGATGAAGCTAAAGAAACGCCCAAGACTAAGAAGCCTCGCAAGAACAGTGTTGCCTCCAAGCAAGCACCTGTCGAGGATGAAGAGTCTGATGCTCCTCTTGTCGAAACGAATAAGAAGCCAGCCGCCACCAAGGGCAAACGTGGCAAAGCTACTGCTGCTCCTGCCGCTGCGGAGCCCGCCACTACTCGTCCCACCAGGGGCAGACCCGCGACAAAGAAGAAGCAAGCCCCCGTTGCTGACGATGAGGGTGCAGCTGAACCTGAGCCGGCCGAGAAGCCAAAGCGGACATATAAGAAGAGAAAGTCTACCTGAAGAATTGGTGTCGTCTCTGAATTGAGCTATTAGTGCGCTGGTCATGTAAAGGAAAATATGAAGGGGGTGCTTTATCTCGGTTTATTCTATCATTTACTTTTCTTTCATATGTCGTGTCTTCTAATTATTATTTCCCCTCTGTCATGTGCTACCTGTGACATTGATATCGGCGTCCATACTGTGCATTCTAACACTGTCACTACATCAAGACTGTCCTATGTTGTTGCTGGCGTGAGCGTGACTATTCTCTGTGTACATGCATGCTGTGCTGGCTTCTCAGTCTCATATTACTATTGTCATGTATCTTGTCCAGCAGTTCTTGTATCCAATCAGTCATGTCATGGTCATATTATGCGTTGATAGGCTGTAATATTACTACTATTGCTGGTTCGAATATTTTTCCACATATCCGACTATTACTAACAGTAGATCATGAAATCTGACACTTGCTAGCTAAGATGAGCGCAGTAATAATCACTACTATACTCAGAATAATCTACTATCTATCAATCCCAAGCCCCGGAAATGAAACAAGCCAGAATTAATTTCATCTGTATACATCATGGCCTCCAACCAAGTGATAAACCGTCCAGAACATCATCTATCCATCTAGCTGAACACTGCATACACCCCATCCAAACAATCACAGTCACCAATCCTCACCAAATAGTTTTATAAACATACCCCCCTCCCATCCCCGCAAGCTCAATCACCATCTCCCCTCCTCCACTTCCACACAAGCAGACAAATCTACCTAGAAGCGCCTATCGATGTTATGCGACAGGGTGATCTTCAGCCATGATCTGGCGGGGCTGTTACTGCTAAGTCTACTGGGTAGGATGTCTGATGAAGCACGGGAGCATGTATGCTGTGTGCGGCTTCAGCAAAGACAGATGGTTTTGGTGGGGTGAGCGCCTGCGATGAGGGAGTGGTTGGCGTGGGTGCGGCTTTGTGCGAGGAAGGCGGTGCAGTATGATGAGGTGGTTGTGGGGTTGGAGAGGATGGGGAGGATGGGTAGGAGGTTTGAATGTGAGGAAGGAGATAGTTGTTGGTGATGTTGGAGGGGTTATTGGAGGAGGATTGTAGGTGTATTAGTAACTAGTATTGTGTATGTAGTTGTGTGGATTTATTTCGGTGATAGATAGAAGCATAATATGTCATTTTGTGTTTCGGGTTGTTTCTAGCTGGGTATATACATGACGGGTTAGATGTTTCCTCCTCGCTCCTGGAGGAACTTGTAGTATTTCGGGGCACATTTCCTCCGCCATTTCTTGCCCCACACGTAGACGGCCATTCCGGCTGCTAGTGAGATAATCACGCAGATTCCGTAGAAGAGGAAGAGCCAGCCGGGGCCGGTGGCTTCGTAGAACGGTTGTGTGGTCTCGGAGATGATGAAGTTGATGATGGAGCTGCAGATGGCGAGGATCACGACAATTTCACCCCCAACTCCGGGGAAACATTCCATAGCATACGCGGTTGCCTGTAGAAGTGGTTAGATTCGATATGTAAAAGGGTCGATTAACGTACTGTTGATGTTGCAGCAACCTGCTGAGCAATCATCGCTCCAATTCCCACCGTAATTGTCATCCAGTGGGCACCCTCCTGCGCTCCCCAGCCGTAAAGCTCATATCCTACTGCCGAATAGATGAAACAAGGCGTCAGAGCCCAGAGACGCATTTCAGGCTCCTTGACACCGTCATTGCGACGAGCGAGGTAAATGACAATCTTATCACCCATTACACTAGTGAGGTAGCCGACAATGCTGCCCACCAGAGCAGACAGATACGCAAGGCCAGTCTGACCATCAGTGAAGTTGTACGGTGCCCCGGTGAGAATCTCAGAGATGGTCTTGTTGGTAACAATTCCAGAGGTGCAGCCAAAGGCGAAGATGATACCAGCCTGGACGATGTGTTAGCTTCTGTTGCAGGCATTTGTATGTGGTTCGAGGGATAGTACAATAATGATATTAGGGAAAGCCAGCAGGAAGAATGGCCGCTTGAAGTAAGACCAATATGTGGTTTTATCCTGTGGGTAATATACCCAAAGTCGCAATTTCTCTTTGAACGTCCGTTTGGGAAATTCAGACGGCGCTGGAATGGTGTCACTGGCTGATCCCTCGTTCACACTCGCATTATCGACCGTGGCAGGATCCTTCTTGTCCAGAGAGGCTGTTTCGGTCGCATCAATCGGGTTCTTTAGCTTGGCCTCGGCTGTAGGCAAGCTCTGCGAAGGGTTGAAGAGGAACCGGGGAAACAACGTCTCCTCATACGTGAAGAAGAAGATGATGATCAAAATTCCTTCTCCAATGGAGACCACCCACTGAGCCCAGCGCCAGCCCGGTCCGTCAGCAATGTATCCTCCTGATACCAAGCCAATGATAGAGCCTAGCTGCTGGGCAAAGATGTAGAAACCCAGCATGCGACCGCGCTGATGGTCAAAGAAGAGGTCGAATACTGCGAGCTGGATGACAGCTTCATAGGCGGATGTACCGAGACCATTGACGATGTTGCATCCATACCATTCACCCGCAGTATGAAAAGCACCCATCCAGATGGAAGAGCCAATGCAAAGGAGTAAAGTTGCAAGGAAACAAAAGCGACGACCGATCTTCATAGCCGCTGGGATCCAGAAGATGTTCACTAGACCGAGCATGAGATAGTTCAGTGCTCCACCACCGT